AAACAAGGCTACTTGAAATCCAACGGAAACATTGGCTATACTCATATAATTGTGAGAAAATTCAATTATCAGTCCCTCATCACCTTAAAGGGAATGGGGTGAATACATCTCATGCATGCTATTCTTGTTAGATTTGTCTTTAAATTCAATTAATTTATTATTTAAAAAATTGACTTACTGCAATTGTTAATAATTAATATACAAGGCTTCTGTACGTAATGTATTCAACGATTAGAAAATTAAATTTTATTTTACATATTCTTATGACAATAAGTGAAATTTTTGCCAGTATAAGCCCTCTGGTACTTCAATAATTATGATTGACGCTCTCAATTTTATATAGAAATTGTAAACTAGTATGTGTGTATTGAACTATCTTTTCATACTTCTCTCACTACTTTAAAATAATTTCATTTATAAATTGATCCTGAATGCACTTGATAAAGAGAGGTTTGTGCGTCTACATTCAAGAACTAAGTGACCAATTTGTTTCACATTTCTTACCCCTCCGACCCCAGTCTGCTTTACAGTCTTTTGGGCGACCCGGTGGCAAGCAGCTGGCTATTCACTCTTCTTCGGTGCTTACCAGTTTGCAAAGTCGGTTGGCTCGGGTATCAACGGCTTTCAAGACAGTGTTGGAGCGCCGCTCAGAGTCTCTGAAAGCGCAAGCCCGTCGCCGAGGTCACTATTTGGATAGTGGATCGGCTCCAGACAATGCTTCATTGGAGGCGGAACTGGGTAGTGCGACGGTCCCTGCACCCCCACTTATGCCTACGAGCACTGTCATGCCTTCGATTTTGCTCCAGGTGGGACATTTTCACCCGAACCCTTCTTAATAAGCTTTACATTTACTGAAGGAAATTATTTATCATACGTCTCCGATTTGATGTAGAATGGCCACATATTATCACCGGTTTTATAATATCATTAAACGTTCAGCTTGGTATGATGAAATGCGGACTTTGTCTTTCTCTCATGCACTCAAATGTATACTATGTACTAAATCATTACTCTTTTTTATTATTGTCCATGTTTTAGGTCTGCCTTAAAGGATATTAAGCAGTATCAAGAGAAATATTTAAAAATTAGGTTTGTTTGTATGTATAACCTGCTGCAAACTTTTGGTTTTTTAAAAGATTTTTAGAGCCAGGAGCTATAATTTGACAATCACAACCTTAAACGAATCAATCATATTTACATCGTTCTTCACTTACTCTAAAATGAAATTGGTTATTTTTTTGCGTCACTTTTTTGTTATGCTTGTGTTTTACACTTTTGGCCTTATATTGATCAAGTCCTTTGTCCCTTTACCTCATGCGCAATCTCTACCGACTTCATCATTATGATTAAAATTTTCTAATATAGCCGGATACACATGTCTACGATGCCATACAAATAACTTCGTTCGACCCTCATGTTTTACCTCATTATTAAGTCCATGCTAAAGAAATGAGACCTGTGGACCATTTTTCATAATCGATCATAAGATTCTTTCGATTTAAAGTTTTAGGCCAAATGCGAAATTGGGGTCTAAATATTAAAACATGCTTCCTCTGGCCTAGCCTGATCTCAGTCAAATTACATATTTCTATCCTCTTGCTCTTTCAAAATGCCAGTTCTTCCTTCCATCAATTACGTCCTCCCGCCAAGACCCAGCTTAGAATCATGTGGAAACCTATGTTGGTAAAAACTTTACTCAGCCCTGGGCGAGAAAATCTATTGAGAGGCTTAGCTAAGTGGACTTAAAATGTATTGACTTATAATCGTGAAGTCTACTCTTATTATTCAGGGTCAATAAGTTTTACTTCCAGAATAACATATTTTCGAAACATCCTCATACCTAACACACCAAAACGGTTATCTAATTACTTTCTATTTACCTGTCCATGTTTGGGTCAGGTGCTTTGCATCCAACTTAAATAATCTGCTAGAAATGAAAAGTTCTAGGACATGCATTCTAGGGAAGTCCTGGATATTTAACTTTTACTAATATTTTGGGCTCACTTATTTTACGTATTTGAATAGAGTTTCGAGACTACCAGCACTTATTTCAGCCAAGCCTATCGAGCTTCTTCTAACTATAAAATCTCATATTAATTAAGGCTCCTATTGGCCGATCATATATGATTATTAAAAAAAGCCCTTTCATGTTATGAGAGTTTCGGATTATTCCATCAATATGATCTGACATATCACATTTACATAGATATGAAGAGATGTTTGATTTCAAAGAATTGTTTAGCAATTTGATTTCATTTGGCAAGGTTGGTTGAAGCAACTAGTAAATTAGCGTCATTTTAAACCACACTGTCTATTTGTACTAAGTATTCCTCGACTCATTTCTGCAACCCCGATGAATTTGTGCTATGTTTTCAACTGTCATGTCTGACGATGTTTGTCACTTGACAAACAGGTTCTTAGTGCCAATTACCCGATGTCGCAAGAATGTGGGCCGGGGAGTTTTTCACATAAATATCCAGTCACACCCCCTTCAGTTTCCGATGAGCCCTATCTAAGATTTCTTACTATCAGCCTTTTCAAACGAATTGAACCTACCATATTTTTTTAGCTCATTTTAACTAGCATAACTTTTTATTAGGCTATTTGCTTTTTTTGCAACGTATCAAGAATTATTGAATGACAAACTTTTCTTCACAGTATTCCTTCACAGCTTGTTTATCTAAGTGTTTGGGTTCATTACCAATCGCTCAGCACACTCATTTCATTGAACCTCGATGAAAAACGATCCTAAATACAGTTTGCTTCTATTGGCATCACAGCTACGAATGGCGTAATGTGATGTAGAATTTTTAGTTAGATTTAATTTTTTAGATTCTTAAAAGGATGGGAGAAAATTTATTACATATACACATTTTATATAAAATACTTTTTTTAGCTTTACCTTCAATTTTTAATCGTCATTTTGCACCAGATTTTAGACTTCGGTTACAATTAACCAAGCTAATGATAATATCCTATTTAATATACATGCTACTAAGTATGCAATCTAGTAGGTATAAATATTTTATTTCAACTCGTTGGTTAACATGTTAGATTTTTGTATTTAATTTGAAGCTATCACCGCTGGGTATTATTTTATTTTAATATTATACCTCGTGTAAAAATTATGTCTCAGCTTTGCTGATTTAATTTGCTGTTTCCCTAAGTCATAGACTTAGAGGGTCAGTTCAATGGAGTGAGATTGGCTGTTAGTCCTTGGTTCATCCTCACTCGATTTCAGTGAAATTCTGCTGAGCATACATCTGTCATGATGTATAACATCAGAAATAGGATTCATTATTATAACTACTCCAAGCTTACACCGAATCCAGAAAAATCCCTTTTTATTTCGCTCTAACCCCTAGTTTTGTTTACTTCTTGTAAGCTTGTAGTGATACGAATGTGTCCAAGCTATGCTGATGCATATTTTTGCCAGAGCTGAGGGAGGCTGTCTCGAGTATTGCACCAGCACGCACTTTTCAGGAAATTAACCAGCTGACTGAGGGGAAT